TGAGCGTTTATTGTCAAATGGTTCAGAGTATTTAGAACATATACTATTTTGTAATCATCTTAGCTTAATAAAAATATTTATTTTAATTTAAAAATAATTTAAGTCTTTAAAAAAAATGATTAACTACATGGATAATCACTTGTGTTTATGTTTTGTCAACTTTTGATCACTGATTTCTAAAAACATAAGATATGATCAATTTTATTTTTATTTAATTAAGATATGATCACTTTCATTTTTTTAATTAAGATGTGGCCACCTAGAATTAACTTTCGTTAACAGCAGTTAACAGCAATTTTATTTTTATTTAACAGCAGTTAAATATTTTGATATAATCACCTAATTTCTTAAGTTTTGACACCATAACGTTCTAAATTCTTAATTTATTAAATTATTTCACATTAACGTTCTAAATTATTTTTTTTAAAAATATTTATTTTAACTTCAAAACATTTGAAACTTAGTTATATTTTTCTATTTTAATTTTTAATAAATTTTATTTCAATTATATAATTTGATTTTTTAAACTTTATGCGTGGATTATATATATTATAGAATTTTAAATTTTAGAATTTTCTATATAAAATTTTAAAAATAATTTAATTTAAAGAAAAAATAAAAAAATTATGAACCATGTACCCGTTACCCAGATTATATGTAATATAATTATATATATTAACTTAAAAATATTTTTATGTTATCTTATTAAATATATTTTATTATTAACTTAATTTAAAAATATTTTAAAATTTTTCATTTAAAAATATATAATTTATTTTAATTTATTAAAAGTATGACTAAATTGAGAGAATTTATAAATAACAGGGATGAAATGTGCGATTATATTAAAATATTTAATTGTTGTTAACCACAGTTAACTCGGAGTGACCACATCTTAATTAAATAAAAACGAAAGAGACTATATCTTATGTTTTTTGAAATAAGTGACCAAAAGTGGACAACCACAAATATAAGTGACTATCTGTGTAGTTAACCCAATAAAAAATACAATAATTTAAGGGTAAACTACATGTTTACCCAAACTATCACTTTTGTTTCGTTTTAGTACCTAAACTTTCAAGTTTTTTAAAACCATACCTAAAATTTACTTTTGTTTCATTTTAGAATCTCACCGTTAAAAATTTAGGTACTAAAATAAAACAAAAAGCAAACGAATGGTACTAAAACGAAAAAAAGTAATCATTAGGTATGATTTTAAAAATATTGAAAGTTTAGGTACTAAAAGAGAACAAAAGTGATAATTTAAGTACTAAATAAGTAGTTTAGCCATATTTTAATAACTTAATTTTTGTTTAAGCCAGTTCAGGCTACAAGCTGTAGGGTCAAACATATTTTAAGCCACAGGAAGTTCCACGTAAACCATTTTCGAAGATTTGTTAAGCAAAAAAAAAAAGGTAAAGTACTCATTTAGTACCTATACAATCAATTTGATCTATTTTAGTACCTAAACTTTCAATTTTTTAAAATCATACCTAAAATCTAATTTTTATTTTATTTCAGTACCCACGGTTAAACCATTTTAAGCTGGAGTGGCATTTTTTTAATTTTTATATTATTATTTATATTGTTTTTTATCCACCTTATTAGAAACAAAACTATGCAAAAAACTCCAAATGGAGTGCACACCAGGGGATCGTACTTGGATCTCTTGGGCGGAAGGAGCAATGCTTAACCATTTGAACTAGCATCGGCATTTAGTAAAAGTTTATATTTCACTTATACGGAATTATAATTATAATTATAAAATGAAAGAAATTTCTTAGATCTATGATTCCAACATGGAGCGAGTACGCCGTCACCTGTCGGATGATCTGAGCTGTACGATTTGTGGCTCGCCCCTGGAAAGTGTGTCTCATATCCTTCGAGAGTGCCCTAGTGCGAGATCAGTTTGGAAGGAAGTGATTAAACCGTAGCGCTTTGAGGAGTTCATGTTGAGCAATGTGACGGATTGGATTCTAACGAATTTGTAGAGATCATATTACTTCCTGACAACGAGGACTGGGATCTTTTATTTGGATCACTGATATGGTGTTTGTGGACCCGGCGAAATAAGATAATTTTCGATGCGGAGTTTAAAGAGAGTGAAACTATCCTTCAGAGGAGTTTTCGAATGCAGCAGGAGGCTCGAGTGGCGTTGTCTTCCAAGCGAAACTTGCAACCCACTCAGCAGCAAAGGGTTAACTGTTAGGAAAAGTGGAAGGCTCCTCAGATTGGCTGGTTGAAGTTGAACATAGATGGCTCGAGACTTCCAACCACGGGACTGGCATCATGCGGCGGTGTTGTGCGCAATTCCGATGGTGAGTGGGTGGGTGGTTTTTCTAAACGGATTGGAGTATGTTCGGTCTTAGATGCTGATCTATAGAGCGTTTATATGAGTCTAAATGTTGCATGGGAAAGAAAGTTTCGACGGTTAATCCTTGAGACGGATGATATGGAAGTGTTTGGTGTTCTTCAAGGAAAAACGGATCTCGGGAGTATCTATTCCTTGGTGCCGCATATTCAGGAGTTCCTTCACCGTGAAGGCAGTTCCGATTTCGATTTGTCCCAAGGGAATGCAATAGAGTGGCGGATAGTGTTACGAGACTTGCTTGGAATAGCGGCGATGAGTTCCAGTTACATAGCTTGGCGCCGATGGAGGTCTCTGACTTTGTTTCTGAAGAAATAGGGATGCAAGACTGTGCGTAATGGCTTTTTGTAGCCATCTTTGTACTAAAAAAAGATTAAGAATTAATTTAATACGTACCAAAATTATTATTTAACATATAAGTATATTAAATTGAATTAAATAATTTCTCATTTTAATTTGAAATGAAAAGTAATTAAATTATTATTTATATATTTTATAAAATTAATATTAGTTTATTTTAAAAATTAAATGTATTGTATCATAAGTTAGATAATAATTTAATATATTTAATTTATATATTTAACTTAAATTATTTAATTTAATAACGTAAAGTAGTTTAGTATAACTATAAAACTATTATTTATATATTTTATAAAATTAATATTAGTTTAGTTTATACGAACTCAACCTTTAACCCTGATCAGTATAACTATAAATTAAATACTTTTCATAAAATACAAACAAAATATATAAATTAAATAACGTAGACTAGTTTAATATAAGTTAAATATGTCCTTAAGCACTTGTCTATGCAAGCCCAGACGGTTGAGCATTCACCCTCGTGTCACCACCTTATTAATTAAATAAAATTAAATAAAAAATATAAATAATAATATAAAAATTAAAAAAGGACGCATCAGCTTAGTCGTTAAATTTTTAACACGGATACTAAAATAAATTTTAGGTATGATTTTGAAAAAATTAAAAGTTTAAGTATTTAAACGGATCAAAACTGATAGTTTAAGTACTAAAAACGTAGTTTACAAAAAAGGAAGAATCTGGAGTAGAACAGAAACGTTGTCGTTTTATATAGGTAATATTTTTCTGCGCAAAATCAAAGCGTTTAGATTCGATGTGTGTTGGTCTTATCCAGTAAATTTCTTACACATAGTCATCCTCTGTGAATTAGCGCAGATCCTTCAAATCGAACGTGGAAAGCAAGCGCAGGCGATTCGTTAGAGAAAGGTAGATTTCTTTATCAAATCTAAGCCAGGAGCTTAGCTCCCTAACCATATCTTGATTTTGCAGTTCAAAAAACTTAATTAATGGCGAACAGAAATCAAATCCCCACTAACAACTCAGCTCTTATTGCTATGATTGCCGATGAGGTGAGTATTTCTTTTGAAGCTGCCTAAATCGGTACACAGATCTCGGCTTCTATCGGGTAAATTGGTACAAGTTTGATGCATGTGGCTTGGACTTAGTAGTACCGTGCTAGCCGATCTGCAAACTCAGCTTAATCTATTTGTTGTTTTTTATGAGTATGAGAAATAAATACCATTCAGATTTAGCTCTATGATAAATTATCTTAAGTTCGTTACACCATAAACTTCGTGGCGTGTTTGCAATTTTCTGAATGGTTCTGTTATGTTATAGGAAAAGTTCACACTTCTATATAGATTTAGCTGTGCTAGCTTATCTGTAAACTCATTCTGCTTGGTTTTTTGTATGGGAATGAATGGTAAATACCATTTAGATTTAGCTCTATACAAATCTTCTTTAGTTCATAACACCATGAGATTCATGACGAGTTCATAAGTTGCCATACAGTTTATTGGATTCCCCCAAAACATATTTATTTGGTCATTTACCATGTTTCCTCACCATGTTAGTTGACCGTAGCAAGAATAAGAGTGTGTGTATGGCATGGTTCAATGAATTTATGTTCTAATAGTGTTGTTAATATGATGATAATGCCATTACATGTGATTTTCAATGCACTTGACTCGACCTGTCTGGTTTATAATTTGTTGGGCTAGGACACGGTGGTTGGTTTTCTGCTGGCCGGTGTGGGTAATGTTGACTTGCGGAGGAAGACAAATTATCTTATTGTAGACTCAAGTATGCTCTTTAACTTTCTGTATTTTGTTGCTATTATTTGAAAAACTTGCCTTTCGAATATGGTCTTTGCCAAACTCTTGTCAACATTTATAGTTGCTTACTTGCAATTGATTGTTTGTTCACTCATCAAATTCAAAGATTAACCAGTTATTTGCTTTCTATGACTCGCCTAAGGATATCAGAATTAGCCAAATTATGCTCAGCTTGACTGTGGTTTATTTACTGTCTAGATAAAGTGGAAGAACACGATCTGATGCTCAATAAGGAAAAATGCCGTTTAGAATTGTTAAACTAAATGTACTCATTTTGTACTTTTTAAAATCGATTTAACTACATGGTTAGTTACATATTTGTCGTTACATATGATCATTGTTGAATCATGTTCTCAAAACTTCTGATTTCTTGTCATTTTTCCTTCAGGCTTTTAGGTGTCTTGGTTTTAAAATTTTCATTTGGGTGGAACCATGTGTTTGTGCCTTTTCCTGTTTATAGAAACACAAAATGGTTTGTCTCTCAAAAGGAAGGTTTCGACATTTTAAATATTACATCATTTTGCATTGTTTGTTTGTCAACTAGAAAAATTAAGTAATAAATCATGTCAGGAAATGCCCTTTCATTTGGTAGAAAGTAGGGTGCTTAATGAGTTGAGCAGCTCGCGAGCAGCTCGAATTCAACTCGGTAAAAATTCGGTAAAAGCTCGACTGGAACTCGACTCAAGACCTTAAGTAGCTAAGTCGAGCAAAGTCCAACTCAACTGATAAGTTCTCGAGCAGCTTGTTAACTTTTTTTATAATCTTTTACTAGTTATCTTAAAAAATTATTTCATTAAAAAAATTACTAATTTACTAATAGATGATAAATGACTAATATATTAATTTTCTTATTAATTAGCAATTATTATTTTACTACACCCAAAATTAAACCATAATTATTATTTTTCTGTATTTTTGGATTTTTATTTTGGAGTTTAGACTTTGAATTTGTTTCAATTTATGTTTATATTAAGCTCTATATAGTATTAGTAGATTATACCTATGGTTAAAAAATAAGATAAAAGTTTTGGTGAGCTTAACGAGCAACGAGCTTAACGAGCACGAGTCGAGCAACAAGTTTTCTTAACGAGCACGAGTTGAGCAAAATTTTAACGAGCTTAACGAGCAACAATTTTTTTCAACGAGCACAAGTCGAGCACTGCCTAACTCTCAGTCGACTCACTCGATAAGCACCCCTAGCAAGGGAGGGAAACTTAAACAAGAACGGTAGTGCTTGTACTCTGGTCTGACTGTTGGGATCAGAATAAATATTTAATTTTTATTCCACTTAGCTTTTTTTTTCTATGAATAATCATCTAGTATAGTTTCTTTTTTTCAATATCACCAGCTTTTTTATCATTCACTCACTCAGTGCTCCTTTTTCTTCTTCTTTTCCATTTTAGAAACCACTGCCAAACAAGTTGAAGATGCATTTAAGGAGTTCACAACAAGGGAGGATATTGCTGTCATTCTGATTAGCCAATATGTAAGCATTTTGAAGCATATGTGCCATAAAACAGCACTTGTTTTCTGCGTTGTTATGCAAATATCTATATGATTGTTGAGCAATATTATACACAGAAGTCTTAATGTGTGGCTGGAGAGCTCTGAAATGCTCACAAGCTCGGATTATGTAAAATCTCTTGCTTCCATCATCATAATTAATTATCATTTATACCACTCCGTAGAAGTGACTGCTGGTCAAATTATCTGTTAAGTGTTAACCGATGTTGCCTTCATGTCAAAGATACGTAAACTGTATTCAGTGATGAAGTGCATTGTTCGGGTGATTATATGTGCCAACTTTACTTTACATGAATTACATGATCAACAACAAACAAAGAGACTAGTAAATAGTAATATCGATGATAAGATTTGATTGAAAACAAAATCTTGCATTTGATACAATGTTTTTGTAAAATTTGGTCAACACCTACACTTTCTTTTGCACAACTAGTTAGATTGACCAAGGTTTTCCTCCTCTGAATTTTAAACTTCCATAGTTTCATCTACAATGTACCAATCCAGACACGAGTATAGTTTATATTTGCGGTGCATTACAGCTCAAGTTTGGTATCCCAATCTAAACTTGTCTTTTAATTGCAGGTTGCAAATATGATAAGGTTTCTGGTGGATAGCTACAGCAAGCCTGTTCCCGCAATCCTGGAGATTCCATCCAAGGATCATCCGTATGATCCAGCACATGATTCTATTCTTTCACGGGTTAAATACCTCTTTTCTGCAGAATCGGTGGCATCTGGGAAGCGTTAAATGCAGATATGCACATGTATGACTTCACTATCCCATCATGTTTCTGTTTCCTTCATGCATTGTATATTACGACGTAAATTACTCTTCCCAGAGAGTTGGTAATGATTCTCGTCAGAGTTTCCATGAGTAATCCTTTTATTAGAGGCCATTTGAATTGAATAAATGATGTTTGAAGAAACTTTTGGAGTCGGGAGGGTATATGCCTTCTTGTTAACAACGTGATTATAGTTTGATTGAAATGCACTGTTAGCTGGAGAGAGTTGAAATCGTGTGGAGAAAACTAAACTGGGCCTTTGGTTTAGTGTAGTGAGCCTATTAAATTATTATTATTATTATAAAAGTGAAATAATCTGTAAGTCAATTATTTTATTTATGCTTATGATTGAATGATAATAATAATTGAATAGTATTTTTAAAATATAGAGGGGAAGAGAACTCAAAATCCAGAATCACTCCGACTAGTATTTGTACTTAGTTGGGATTAAAAAATTTGAGCTTGTAAAGTCAAGTTCAAATTTCACCACCGTCACTCTTGGTGAATTAAATCTTAGATATGCTTTGTCTTTAAACGAAGAAAATCACCTCTTAACTAAACTTTTTGTAACAAAAAAAAATCAAAGACCCACGAGTTTTCTATATGAAAGTAGGATAACACCTCATCGCATCTATTATTTACCGCATTACCCACTTATTTTAACTCTGAAAATTATAAAAGTTTAATCAAAATAATTAGGTATCATCTGAATGAAAACCATCGGGGAGAAGAACGTTAATAGCTTGATTCGGTTCCGTTAAGATGTTCAAGTGCAGATTTCAAGGATCTGGTAGAAGTCCCTAGTTCCTTCAATCCTTCCTCGGGAGACTTTGCTTCGCCCAGCACATTCACCATGGCACTACCAACGATCACACCGTTGGCTCCCCATTCGGCTACTTGGTGATCACGACATACTCGTTCATGTTATCAACATTCACATAGAGGCAAAAACTTGGAAAATACACATGCGGCAATTTGTGTGTTTCGAAGATCAACCTGTTTCACATGTTACGGTTTCGATATCCCAAAGCCGACTGCAACAGGCTTGGTTGTTGCCTGCCAGGGAAAACTCACAAAGTTTCAAAATGCAAGTAAAAGGGGGATTCAACCATCAGAATGTCTTAAAAGTTAAATAATTTTTTGCCTAAATACAAAATATATCTATAATGACTTCGACAAATGCACCGAGCACAGCTCAATTTAATTATAGATCACAGAATAGTTGAGATACTTGGCATTCTAATTAGTGATATAGTGACTCTTCGTGTCAATACAAACCTCCTTAATTTCGCTTAAAAGAGTCCGAACCCGATCGCTTACAGATGCACGGGCACCAGTAACTCCGGTTTAGCTCACCTGAATTTCCAGCAGACAAGAAATATCAAGATGGTTGTAATAAAAGACTTATCAAAGTTCAATTTTCCTTTGTCACAAAACTTGACATAAAAAAAAACCTGGAAAAAAAGCAAAAGTAATCAAGGAAAATAATACGAAAAAAGTGTCATCAAATTCGGAAGAGGATCTCTTACAAGATATACAAAAATCCTTCTGATGCTTCAACAATAGCTTTCATTCGGTCTGTCGGCGAAGTTGGTGTTGTAGGCAGTACCTTACCCACATGTGCAGATAAGCCATATTAGATCGACTTTTATTCCAGAAAAGAAAAGGGGGAACATATGATGCAGTATGGAAAATAACATTTAGGGTCGCAAAAATAAATGAGTTGCCATGTTTTATTGGACAGCTAATCAGTACTTAATTATGCCTTCAAATATCCAATTCTGTAGTAAAGCCAGCTGCTAAGATTGTTCTTATAGTGGGGACGTAAAAGATCGATCTTATTTTTTAGGGCTTCTCTTCTCAAAATTTCAGTGGGGTACATCTGGAACGAGTCCTGCAAGTAATTATGGAATTATTGTCGTAACCACACCATACAAATGTTGGGAATCTTAATAAGAGCAAATCATGCTAATCTCCTCAATGAAAACTATGCTACAAATGAAGCCAAATATGTTGAGCGAAGGAGCTAGTCAATCATAATTTACGAAAGGCGCTGTTGAATCATTCATCAGAAATTCTAGACAACAATGAAAAGCTTAACTATGCCACAAGTAAGACTCAACAGTTATGACAGCAGTACTTGTCCAGTTGATTAATTGCAATGACACATATAAGCTGGAATAAAGTATTAAACAGTCTCTGAAAGTATAGCCTGATAATTTGAGTTCGAGAAACATACGAGAGTCATGGGGGATAATAGAATAGCAAAGAAATTTTAAATTAAGCAGACGCATAACATGTTTATCGTGTATGCCTACTTCCTTTACAGTGCATAAACTGCTCAACCCCACACTTCAGAATTGGGTTGTAATATGTAAACAAAGCAATTGGGCAAGATAACTGTGGAACCACCTATACAATTTAGAAATACATGATTATAATATAACACTCGAGTTGAAATAAACATAGGTGCCTTGGCAGTGGGCAATAGTCCCACCTCCTTCAACATTGAAAGAATAACATTAAAGTTCCTTTTGCCAGTGATCGCGTAGCTGCCGCCTAAACAAAAGAAATATCAATAAGATTTTTTTAAAAATAAATAAACAAATAGATTCACGAAAAGAATTACATTGTTAACTGACCTGAATCACCGGGACCGTCAGCCAGAGGATCAGAATACGGTACACCCAGTTCAATTATGTCTGAGCCACACGAGTCGAACACCTTAAGAGCCTCTGCTGTTGTTGAAAGATCAGGATCCCCAATAAGCGTCTCCTCAGTGAATATGATACTCGATACACCTTAAGAGCCTAAACTTTATTATTGAATAAATATTGAAGACCCGAGTCTACCACTAACCGAAGAAGGAAAAAAAGGGTTGGGGGGGTGTTGGGGACCATATATCTGTTTTTGCTTTCTCCAGGATGCACAGCTGAAATCGGCCTGACTGTTGAATTGTTGTTACAGGATTCTCCATCTGAATCTTTTGATATCATTACGTCAAGCGTGGCATGCAATGCAACCATCCCAAAAAATCTGCAAAAGAGGTGAAATCTTTCCTTTTCCAGTGTTTACCACAAATCTGTTTATGTATCGGTGTAAATGCGTTGTCAAATTGTAGGCAGGCAGGCTTGGCCCTTGTTGGTACATAAATGGACCGTCTCTTGCGACATATTTTCAAGTTGAGATTGTTTAGTTATGAGTTACTGCTCAGGACAGGAATCGGGAGTTTGTTTTTTCTAATAAGAATTAATAATAATAAATTAGGAGGTAATATTTTTTTGGGGAGAGGGGGATTTAATGATCGTAGAACATAACTTGTAGCGATTAAAAGTATTATCGGGATTTAAATTGCGGTTGAGGTCGCATTACGTTTATCACAGTCGCGGATGTAACAAATGCTATCGTGGTCATTGCGGGTCGCATAACTTATTACAAAATAAAATAAATTATAATTATAATTATAAAAAATTAATTTTAATGGTATTTAGAGTTTTTTTTTCTAACACTTATGAACTTTTAAAAACTTTTATTATTACATGAACATAATTTTTACCTTCATTAATTATTCTTGTATTTATTCATAAATTTCTTAAGAATATTATACCAGAAACATAAAATTATAATTAGAATTTATAAATATAAAAGAATTCATTACTTCTATTATGAATAATATAATATAAAATATAATAAACATTTACTAACAGTGGATAAAAGTAAGTTTAATGCATAAATCAATAAATAATACAAATAATTTAAGTGTATAAAATTTAAATTCAACATTCAATCTCCTAAAATAAATCATAACCATTTAAAAAGATTAACCCATAAAATTATTTATTATTATTCACTTACCAAAAACAACATATTAAAATTTAAAACTCACGAAACTAAAACAAACCCAACAAAAAACCCATAACATTGTAACCAAAAACTTATTAATTTATTGAGGTTTCTTTTGGTCCAAACTCAAAACATTAAAAGTAAAAAAAATATTTAAAATATAAAACATAAATAAAATAAAATTATTAAATCCCCAAACATCTTATTCTATCTCGTGCGTGAGAGAAGGAAGGCAGATATGCAAAGCAAAATCAAAGATAATTGAACTCCCATATTTGTTTTTTTTTTGTTTATCAAAAGTTTCATTTTTTTGTAGTTGTGTTGTTGAAAGCTTACCCTGTTCTTTTTTTTTATTATTTAGAAAAGCATCAATTGGAACATCGGTTCTCATGTTTTCTTCTCTTTCTTCTCCAAAAAAACAGGTTTGGGTTTGGTTTTTGGTTCTGTTGTTGTTTTTACTATCAAAGGAGACACCACAGGTAGAGACAAAGAAGATCAAGCTCCTTCTTCACTTCTTCAAAGGGTTGGAAAATGACAATATCGATAAATGGTTGGTTGTGAATCCAGTCCTTTTCCTTCTTTTTTCTTTCTTCCAAGCTCTACTCTTCCATCTGAAAACCTAGAAAATATGTGTGGGTTTCAGTAACTGACTTGGGGTAACGGAAAATAACGAGAATAGTGATCCTCTATCACCGCGATCGACCGTTACTCGTTAAGTTGTGGTTGTGATCGGTCGCTATCGGTGTGATTCTGTTTCACACCGCTATTTTGGACAATAACAATATCGGACGATGATGCTACTACGAAATTGCGACCGCTATCGCGTTTGAGCTCCGCTATTGAAACCCTGGAATTACATAAAACTTTAGATCCCAAACAAAACTTTCCGCACTCTAATGCTTACATTTTCTTAATGCAGATATGGAATATCACACTTTAAGAGAGAAATTCAATGTTGGGCGATATACCAACACTCGAGTTTAAGGATCACTGTAGTACAAAGTTTTAAATGCAAATAATTTTATTCTGGAATATTTCAGTGTCCCGTCAAAATCTTATGGGTGGGAGACAGAAAGACAACCCTCTCTCTTTGTTTTGCAAATGTAAATGCAAAGCCACCCGTGGTAGCGACAAATCATTTGGCTAATCTAATCATTCATTCTCAGGCCTACCTACCTTAAAGAACCTCAGATCCCAATGCATCTCTTTTACTATTGCGTTTGCATTCTATAAATTCACTTAAAAAAAA